AATCGGGGGAAGCAAAATTTGTCTAATGTGGTTATTGTGATTACTGGGCTCGACCCGGCCAAGTTTCCTGCGTCTTTCATGTCGAACTACGAAAAAATAACTAAAAGCGAAATCCCTCTGCTGGGGTAAAGACAATGGGGCTTGTGGGAGAGGGAAAGAAGCCCTGAAGCCTTTCAAGAAAGCCCGTCACCTGGCAGCCCTCACGCAGGCAGCACTGCTCACTGAAGGAGGCAGCACCAGAAAGGGACTTCAGGGGCCACCACGGTAGCATGTGAGGCACTGGATTTTGAATCCAGAAGACTGGATTTGGGGCCTGACTCTGTGTTCCCAGAGCTGTTTCCTTGTCTACGCAACGAGCACAATAAAAGCTTCCTCAATGATTGCTGGAAACGGTAAACAAGATGCCATGCAAGACGCCAGCGTGAACTAGTCTGGAGTCACCTATGCGCGTGGAGGGTGTCATCTCACCAGCGCTCACTGGCATCACACTGGCTGCATTTCCCACTCAGGGAGTTGGGTCTGCAGCTCTGGTCTCCTCACTTTTTCCAATCGCCTCTTAGATTCTCGTGCCCTGCCGCTGGAACACGGAATTCCCTAGCTCCCCTCCAAACAATCTCAATAAAGCCCTAACCCAGCTCACTCAGGAAAGTTTCCTGCTTTTTCACAGCATATCACATTTTGTGATAAAACACTGGTTACATACATGATATAAAGAAAATACTCTAAAATTAACCCAAGTGAAGTTCCTCATAAATGTCTCTTTTGTAATGTACTGTGAGGATGTGTATATACAATGTAGTTCTTTTTAAAAAGCATATAGGCAAGGAACACAACATGAGTAACCTTAAGAAATATGAATTTTACTGGCAGGAAAGGTTTGGGAGGTGCAAATTCTCCTAAGACTAACATTAGCTATAAAAAATGGAGTATTTCAGTGCAATTCAATATTTTCTTTCATCAGAGGCTCAGAGCCTCAGCCCACAAGTCAAGAGGAATGTAATGAGCTGACTGCATGTGTTACAACCAGGATTCTGGGGGACAGACCAAAGAGGTGGCCGTGGACTTGAGCAAAAACGGGAATTTGTGCCCTTTTGCCCAGAACGCTGGTATCTTGGCTGGGAGGGCAAGATTCTTCCTGCAGTGTCGGCCACAACCTAACAGCAACCCAAATCTAAGCACGAGAGCGAACAGCTGTAGGGGACAGGGGCAGAGACGAGGGAGAGCTGTCCAGGCTGCTCTCCAGGCCGGCTGCTGCACGCCAAAGAAGTCTGCCTACTCTCAAGGCCATCTTGGGGAACCATTTAAATATTAAAATCCATGCCACTCTGCTTTACTAGACTTTCCACATTAAAGTCAATTAGGGTCCTAAATCTCCATTTGCTAAGAGAAGTGGGAAGATCTGTACACAGGGTGACCATCTGAGAAGGAGGTATTTTATTTAACTACAAAAAAAAAAAATGCAGAAAAATAATTCATTTATTTAACCCAGAAACAGTTATAATCTGAAGCGCCGCAAACCTCTTACACAACAACTGTTTTGGCAAACCCCCCTGTGTTCCAACAGATATTAAAGTGTGCTCGCCATTTGTCTAAGGAATCTTGCATTAATAAACATGAAGAAGAACACTCTTACCTCCCACTCTCACTGACAGGACAAAACAGAGCCCAGCTGTATTCATCAATGGGTTCTTGTTCTGCACATAAAGGCTAATTACATTTTGCTTCAAGCCTACACATGGAAAACTTTACTGCTGCCGTCCGTCACAGGCAGCCCGTGCTGTCCCAGCTGACGCAGGGCGATGACTGTACACAATAAACCTGGCTCTCGGAACAGCCTCGGTGCCTTCGACCTGCAGGCTTCTTTCCAAAATGGAAGTGACGGACGGTCACCCCAGTGACATCTCCCAGCGACAGGGAGGCAAAGGCAACACCTGCTCTTCAGATCTCATGGGGAGATGATGCCATTAATGTCAATCTTCTCCGAGGCCTGCTAATTTTGGAAACGCACACCAAGCCCTACTGTGAGCTTGTCAGGAACAGCTTCTGTGTGTTGACGACAGAATAGCTAATAGCTATTAGTGAAAGCTACCATTACGTCCATCGTACAGGCGGGAAGAGTAGGATGTAGAGGTCACTGAGCTCATCCAAGGTCACACAGAGTGAGCAGTGGACCCCACCCAGCGATCCACTCCCAGGTCAGTCTTCTCCAAAGTCCATGCTCCACGGGGCCTCCTCAATCCCTTTCCTATGTTTTCTGTCAACCAATATTTAAGAATCCCTCCTTTCAAAGAGAGAAAATAAATTGTTTCGAAATGTTTTATGACCATTTGTGAAAGATTTGCCCTGGAGGGCTTATATTCATATGTATTAACGAAAAAATGCCAAGTCTAATAAGATATACATAGGTTGCGCCTGAAGCAGATGGTAAAGCGACAAACCTTTCCCAGAAAATGAAAAGGGAGAGGAATGCGGAGGGGGAGGCTTCATACGGGATCTAAGACTGCAGCAATTGCCTCCAAAGTTAAAAGAAAGTAGCAATTATTATCTCAGTCCATTCTCTACATTTTTTGTGGATTACTTACTCTGGGAACCATTTACAGTAAGTGTGTGGCCCCAGGCTGCCTTTTGTTAGCAGTCAGTCCATTTCTGATTTGGGAAATGCCCGATCCCTGTCTAAGCATCAGTCCAGCCCCTTCCGGATATGCCCACCTTGGCCCTATAGATCAGCTATTGGGAGCTTCTGGCTGGTCCTCCAGAAGACGAGCCTGGCCTGGCCCAGTATTTTCACAAACTACACTCCTTTAGCCTCCAGGGACCCCTCACCTCGACTCATTTTAACTTCAGATCACACGTCACCACCTTCAGGAACACTTCCTCGACAATTCCTTCCTTTTGTTCCAGCTGCGTGGGGTCCTGTGCTGGAGATCTGCCATTCCCATCTCCAGCTCCCTCCCCCCGGCTCCCCCAGTTCCTCTGCTGGCTGCTCTCTGACTTTGGCCATGGGGAGTCGGGGCAGCGGGAGGGAGAAGGGTAAGGTCAGAGGTTGCTGGTACAGCCCTGGATCCCTCTCCCCTCCCCAAGTCTACAGCTCCCCTCAAGGGGGCCCCTTCTCACCTAGGCGTGGAAAAGCTCGGCCAGTGCTAGCCTCAGACACCACACTCCCTCTGGTTTCCCTCTTCCCAGCCCACGCCTTGGCAGAGTCCCAACATGAAACTCTCTTCTGATCATCCCAGCTGGAGTGTGCTGTCTGTCTTCTGTGGGGACCCTGACAGCACAGGTGCTGTGCTCACTCATGTCCCCTTGATCACGGCAGTGAACACACTGGATGGCAATGGCTTTTCTCCCCCTGAGAGAGGGGAGAAAACTCCATTTACTGTAATTCGATGAAACTGGGCAAGTAACATGTAGATTGTCATTTATTTGGATTTTGGGGGAAAAAATCTTTTTGGCCTTGAAACACACTGATATGATGGGAAGTGTCAGACTAGAAATGTTTCTCACTGAGCCCACACCCATGACCACCACTTCTCATCAGATGCCAGCACAGTCAGGGTTCTAGAAGTGGTCTAGGGTCAGGAGGACCAGCCTCTGGTATTCCCCTGGGTGACCCTGCTGATTCAGGTGACTGTCCCAAGATTTAATGTCCTTACCTTTAAATGACAGAGGTGGCTGCTTAGGAACAGCCTGGGAGTCAATGTGTCTATAAACAGTAACTAGAAATACTTAAGACTAAAAACCACCCCGGTCATCTCAAGAGGCACCTCTGACCCTATCTAGGGAGCAGGATCACCTGGGAGCTGTCCTCTGTTGACTGGCGGCTCTGGTTGAGAGAAGTGAATCATCTCCCAGCATCAGCCTGACCTGTAGCAAGGCCAGAAGAGGGTAGGCACAGGGGATAAGACATCCCCCCCTCTCTGGTCCTCTCTCCCAGTCACTTCCCTGGCTGCCATATTGGCTAACTAGAGAAGATGAAAACCTGTCAGTGGAGGAAAATTTAAGCCCTTCCTAGTTCTCTGTTGTGTTGCTTCCTCAACCCATAAACAAACCAATTAAATGGACACAAATTTTCCCTGGGGCTTTTCAGAAGCCCAATAAGAAATTTTGAATCTAAACCAGTGACCAGTCCTTAGCCATCATGTGACAAGGAGCATTCTTTGCTGCTAATCTGAACGGTTTTGGTAGATGCCTTATGTCATCAGGAGTTTTCCTTTCCCCAGGCAAGTGGACGTCCACGGCTAACAGCACCTCACCAGCAGGCACAGGGAGAGCGTGGCCGGAGCCCCGCTGCTGGAAGCTGGGCTTTCATCATGTTCCGGGAGCAGTGGCTTCAAAATGGCTTTTGGTTGAGACTCACAGGAAGAACTACATCTTAGGTCATGACTCAATAACTATATGTCTATATTTTTAGATTTTATACATATAATTAAAACGAAAGTGTCACACAACAATACCTAGCTTTATTACGTGCCATGACAAGTTCTTTCTAGTCTATTATTTAGTTTTATATTCTATTTTATTACCCAACTAGCTGGTTGCCACTCACTAAATTGATTTCATGACTGTGATCCACAATTTGAAAAACAACGTTGGCTTAGAGGGGCTTAAAGGCTGTTTGCACAAAAGTTTTTTTAAGTGCGTAATAAAGCAAACTTTGGTTAATTACAGATACACGAAATGTATCTAAGTCTTTTAGAAGGAGATGTGGTTTAATAAAAGTAAAATAAATTAATGAAAACTAGTGAAATAATCAAATACATCACCACCAAAGTCACTATGAATTTTGACTAGTAAAATGATGTGGATAAGAGTGAATGGATCAAGGAATTAACATATCGTCTACAGATCAAACTATTTTAGAAAAGAAATGCTACAAACTGAGGACAGAGCTATGTATCAGATTAACACGCAGTCGTCCCTCAGCATCCACGGAGGAACGGTGCAGGAACCCCATGGATACCAAAATCCACAGATGCTCAAGTCCCTTATATAACACGGCATAGTATTTGAAGATAACCCACGCACATCCTCCTGTATACTTTAAATCATCTCTAGATTACTCATAATACCTAATACAACGTAAATGCTCCGCAAGTAGTTGTTATACTGTCTTGTTTAGGGAATAATGACAAGAAAAAAAAGTCTGTACGTGTTCAGTACAGATGTACCATCAGAGGTCTTTTGAGCTGGGCTTGGTTGAATCTGTGGATGCAGAACCCGTGGAGACTGAGGGCTGACTATACTATAATTTTTAAAAATTGAATTTACCAAGAAAAACAACCTACTTAGTAGAATCAAGTCCAGATGGTAATAATAGAAAAAAAAAGATAATAGGCTGGCAGAATAGGGAGCCCAGGCATGGACACTGAGGAGGGTCAAGGTGACAGCAGCCGGTACGGTTTCTGCCGAGCTTACATCCTGGGGGTGAGGAACTCTCAGGCTGTGAGTTTGGGGGGGAGGGGGGAGACACATGCCTGCCATCCCGCCAACAGTGATGCCCTGGGCTGGAGGACTTCATACTAGAGCCAATTTTCAAAGTGCAATTTTAACAGTTACCTTACCTTAGAACCAGCTCGTTCTGTACCACCTAGAGTCACATTTTAGCACACTGAGAAGAGGGTAAAATCATCTGGCAGTTTCCACTGGGACTAGACACGCCAACAGGTCAGCCATAGTTGTTGAGACTAACAGGGACACTTTAGCCATTGTGCAGTTCTGTGCTCACGATCAAAATCGGTCCTGACCACCAGGCCTGAGTGTCTGGGCTCTCAAGGTCTCGAGCTACTGAACCACCCAGAGCGAAGGTCAGGAGCCCACCTCCACGTGCCCAAGAGCAGCTGGCCCAGCAGCAACCTCAAAGGCCAAGGGCGAGAGTGATGGGACAGAGGGATGCCAGACACGAGCACCCTGCACAGAGCAGAAGCCTGGGAGGAGGGTGGCACTATTCAGAGGCCCCCCACTCACCACGCCCGCTGAGGCCCTGTGTGAGCACAGCAGGAGACCTTTCCTCCTGGCCTACGGCAGCCAGAGAGACACAGCCGGGGTGGAGTCGGGGACACACACACACGGACGGAAGGGGAAGGAAGGGACACATGGGTTTCTGCGGGAGATGGGAGCAGCCCCCCAGACAGGAAGAGGTGGTTCAAACTCTAGCCTGGCCTTGACTGCCTGGACTTCAGCAGAGGATGCTGTGGCTAGGAACAATCTCTGTTGCTTCATCTTTCTTGAAGTACATCAATATTATTTCTTCCTCTCTGGTGTTCTGCATGGAGGGTGGGCTGGCAACAAGTGTACCTGTGGTGGATCACTGATTTCCTTCTGACAAGAGTCTTGTGTGCTATACCTGCCCAAATACACATGCTCCCTTTGTGTGTGTGTCTGCACAAGGACGCCTGGCGCTGTAAGGTTTGAACAAATACACCTGTATGGGAACGAAGGACTCGGGCGCAGGTAAAAGGTGACGCATTTGCACAGCCCAAGCACCACAAAACGTTCCACATATCACATCTTCTATAAGCAGACTCTTCCCCAACTTTCTTAAAAAAAAAGGCACCGTTTGATCAGGCTTCACAATAATTAAGGAAAAAAGTTTCAGTTGGAAGGATTGTTCTGAGAGCACCTGCACATCTTGGGCATTAAACTGACACAAGCAACTCACAGAAATGACTATATTCCTCACAGCAGTCCGGAGGCCCACCACCTTCTAAACCCCGTATCGCTTTGCAAAGCCAACAGACAGGAGGGCGGAGCAGGGGAAATCTTCTACGCATTAGCCAATCAGGGGGGACCTGACCCAAAGCATGCAGATTGAGGAAGCCAGGCAGAGACTTACTTGGCGGTAATTTCTTCATCATATTTGGTTTTCAGGTCAAATAATTCTGTTCGAGTTTTTTCCAGGGCTAAAAGGCAAAGGACATAAAATCATAAGATACTAATTGTTCAAACCAAATTAAAAAAGAAAAAGCATACAAGTAATCTCACTTCAAAGGAGTCAAAGACAGAGTCCATAGAAGGGAAGAGAAAATCCCTTGTCACCTTCACCTCCTCTCATCCCCAGCACCTCCTCAGAGATGAGCACTGCTAACAGTTGGGTGTGTAGATTGCATACTTTTAAATGTGTTTTATTACTTTAAAAATACTTCCACGCATAATTGCCTATACATATACATTTTTCACCCCCTGATAAATAGGATGATCTAAATATTCCCGGGACTCGCCCTTTCCCTTAGCAGAATGGCATGCAAACGTCTCCACGTCAGGACACGGGGCCATAACAGGAACAATCAGCTCTGTACAGAGCCTGGCAGGTGCCGGGCACTTCAGGCACCTAGAAGTGGAGGTGGTTGGGTAAGGAGCTGAGATCTCCAGCTTCAGAGAAATACCATCTGGTTGGCCTCCCAAGAGGCAATTTACATCGCCATCAATACTATTTCCCATATTCTCATCAACACCGGATATTATCAATTGAAAAATTTCTGACAGTCTGACAGGCAGAACCATCTTTTACTGATTTAATTAGCATCTCCTCCACTGTTAAAAATGGTTAACATTTCTTCATATGTGTATCGGCCATGTGCACTTCTTCTGCAAACTGCCTATTCCCATCCTTAGCCCATTGTTCTATGGGACAGTTTATCTATTTTTATTGATTTGCAGGAAGTCTTTACATTTTTTGGATATTATTCATTTGTCTGTTCAATTTGTTGTGATTGTTTTCTCCTGCTCTGTTATCTGTGTTTTAACTTGGATTATGATGTCTTCTGATGTGCTTTTCCACATTTAAATTAAAAATATAGTGCTGTTTCTCTTTCAGAACAAAAAGAAAAAGAAGAAAAAAGAAGTTTAAAGAAACGATAAAAACTTCAGCATAAACTTTTTCGGTATCTTTCAGACTTTAAAGGTCTGCTATTACTGTTCTCCTTAACTTCACTTAGGGGAGAAATGAGGTTTTTCCCCTATTATTGTTCCAAATGAAACGCCAGTGCTCGGCAGTCTGGTGATCTAGACGTGGTGCTGCCACAAGAGCAGGAAGAAAGGATGGCGAGTGGGAGGGATGCAAATGGAATTCCCGTTCTCCCACCTCGACACTAACAGCCCAGGCTGGATGACTAACGAAGCCAAGGTGGGGAAGCGCGGGCTCTTGGAGGCACTCGGGCTCCCTTCACTCCTCCAGCTTGACACAGGTGGGCAGGGCAACAGGTGTCAGAGCGGACCCGGAGGGACAGGAGGTCGACCAAACTTCCCCCACACCAGTCTTCCCTGCACCAACTTGACTAGGAGGAAGAACATCCCACCTGTCTGCAGAGTTTGAACTTTATGTTCCGCTTCCTCCAGCTTCGAGGTGGTTGACATCTGTGTCTCTTGCAGCTTTCTGGAAAGGACGAGAATAAAGCCAAATTGGTCATCCTCCTTACCCACTTACACATCTTGTGTGTACTGGAGTTTCTTCACTGTAACACACACCCTTGGCAACAGGCGCACCATCGGATGTCACTTGTCATGCCAAGAGCACTGGGGAGCCCACTTACTGAGCTCTGACACTCCAACTCTGTACCCACGTTACATAACGTGAAGCATGCATCCTGTGGGACTTGATGGTAACTGATGTAGAAGGTTATGCTAAACGTAACTTGTTCTTGAAATGCCAGATATTAAAAAAAAAAAAACATCATCATGCACTCATTGTTTTCTGAAGTCAGCCCAAGAAGAATGATACATTTACATTCTGCTGACACAATGAAGGAATTTGTTGGAAGAAAGGAGGTACTAAATAGATGTGACAGCTGCTCCATTTCTGTTGTAATGGAATGCAAATGCAACTCCAATACCTAATGGGGAAATTCGGAATGTTTTAAACTACATTCCACATATTTCTATTTCCCATCATCTCCAAATGAATTCCCTGGTCAATAAATAGCATTCCTTCCTCCTAATCTGCAGAAACTCTCTAAAAATAAGTTTATTATTTTTACATCATATGAGTATAACACATGCTCTCATAATAATAAACCTGGGAATACACAAAAGTAGAAATTACACAGCTAAAAAAAAAAGCACCCAAATTTCCATCACCTATGGAAAAGGATTGCTCACATTTTCATGTGAGCAATTATAAAACTAATATATGCTCAGAATTATAAAAAAAAAAACAACACAGGGGCTGGCCTGGTGGTGCAGTGGTTAAGTTCACGCACTCCGCTTAGGGAGCCCAGGATTTGCAGGTTCGGATCCTCAGTGCGGACCTACGCACCGCTCATCAAGCCATGCTGTGGCAGGCGTCCCACATATATAAAGTAGAGGAAGATGGGCATGGACGTCAGCCCAGGGCCAATCTTCCTCAGCAAAAAGAGGAGGATTGGCAACAGATGTTAGCTCAGGGCTAATCTTTCTCACGAAAAACAAAAACAAAAACACAAATATTACAAGAGCATGTGTAGGTAAAATGTCCTTTCCCTTCCTTGGCTCTATTTACTCCTCAGATAGAGTTCTTTTGTAGCTTTCCAACAATTTTCTATATGTACAGAAACACAATGCAATATGCAATATACTATAGTGTAATATAAACTCATATGTAATATACAGTCATCTGTAATATCCAGATACATTTCTGGTGATATTGCAAATTACATTCATATGTAATATACTGTAGTGTAATACTCATATGTAATAGACGGTAATGTAATATACATTCATGGAATATACACCCATATGTAATATACTGTGGTGTAATATACACTCATATATAATATACTGTAGAGTAAGACACACTCATGTAATATACCATGGTGCAATATGTAATATACACCCATATTTAATATACTGTAGTGTGTTATACACTCATATGTAACACACTGTAGTGTAATATACATTCATATGTAATACACTCTGGTGTAATATACACTCCCTGCCCCTTTCTTTTACTACAAAAGGGATCAGAGCACCCACAGTATTCTGCAGCTTGCGTTTTCACTTACCTCCATAACTTGGAAATGCTCTACTCCAGTATATATAGTTCGTCATTCTTACTACATAATTAACTTAACCAAGCCTCTACAGACATTTGGATTGTTTATCATTTCTTTCTACTAGACGATTCTGCAATGATCATTATGTAGATATTGTTGCCTAATTTTGAGAGTGAATCTCTTGGATAAAATTCTAACAGAGCAATTACAATGGCCAAAGGGTATCTGCAGGTTTTTTTTGATAGATATTGAGAAACTTCCCAACCCAAAACCTCACCAATCTAAACTCTTGCCAACAATATGTGAGTCTTTTCCTGTGCCAACAATGGATAAAATTAAACTTAATTTTACTGCTGAGTAAAGCTGAGCATTTCTCTTTGTATGAACTGTCTGCTTATCTCCTTTGTCCATTTTTTGTAGTGCTGACTTTTTCTTATTAATTTGTAAGAGCTCTTTGTATATAAAGAAAACTAGCCCTTTTTATTAAGTGGTGAAAATATTTCTCCCCATTTTTTTTTTTTTTGTGTGAGGAAGATCAGCCCTGAGCTAACATCTGTGCTAATCCTCCTGTTTTTGCTGAGGAAGACCGACTCTGAGCTAACATCTATTGCCAATCCTCCTCGTTTTTTTTCCCCCAAAGCCCCAGTAGATAGTTGTATGTCATAGTTGTACATCCTTCTAGTTGCTGTATGTGGGACGCGGCCTCAGCATGGCCAGAGAAGTGGTGCGTCGTGCGCGCCCAGGATCTGAACCCGGGCCGCCAGTAGCGGAGCGCGAACGCTTAACCGCTAAGCCACGGGGTCGGCCCTCTTCCCAGTTTTTTGATGTTTTTAAAATGTTGTTTATTGTTATTTGTTTTCAAAAAACTGTATTAAATTTTAGGTAGTCATAGTTATATCAACTTCTCTTTTATGCTTAGAGAGATCTCCCGACTCCAAAACTATTAAAAACAAAACATTTGCCCAAGTTTTCTTCTTGTATGTACATGATTTAATTATTAATATTTAAATCCTAAATCCGTTTCAATTTTTGGTGTAAAGAATGAGGTAAAGATCTAGCTTTACCCTCCCACACCCCCAGTGGTTAGTCAGTTATTCACATCTTTTAATATAATTAATCCTTTTACCTAATTTGAACAGTGAACTTAATAATATTAACTTTCTGTACAAATTTATTTCCACACCTCTATAATGCATGAGTTTGCTCTATGCAGATGTAGTCACACTGTACATAATTTTGTATCATGCATTTCTCACTTCATACTATGCCCTATACATTTCTGGTGATATTGCAAATTCTACGTAACTATTATTTTAATGGCTACATAATGCCCCAGTTAGGGATGGCCCATCTTTTACTCACCCATTTCTCATTGGCAGGGCATTCTGACTGCTTGCACCCCACCCTGCCATTATCAATAACATGGTGAGAAATCTCTTTGGGCATAAGGTGCTGTCCTAGGAGGCATATTTAGGACCAGCTCCACATCTGCTGGGTCAAGACTCCACTCATCTTCTAAAGCCCCGACTCTCTGTGGCCCCCTTTTCTCCTGCGGGCTGCACCCGGCACCAATGTCCCCAAGTGTGGGTGTGGTGTCCCTGTTCAGAGCTGGGCTCGGCCCTGGTCCCACAGGGAGGACTTCTGAGCACATCTGAGCACAAGGGAGGCCAGGGCCGCAGTGGTGGGTCAGGCCCCAGCCCACCTCTGGCTGACCAGCTGGGAAAGCACGGGCAGGTCCCTAATCTGAGGCCCGGTTTCCCCATCTGTAAAATGAGGCCGTCCACTCTGCAGGTCTGCCGTGGGCACTCAGAGAGTGGAGTGGGTTTCTTCTTTTCTAAATGAAGCCAGCTTAATGGCGCTCCAGAGATGCCTTGGTGACACCTGAGAGCGTCACGGGCCCGCCTTGCAGAAGTCCAAGCAGCTGTGTTTGAAGTCAGCAGGAGACAACAGGACACAGCCCCGTGCCATCACCAGGCTGGCCTCCTACTTGTGACCATACCTGTGGTGCCTCTTGTTAAAGGACACATACATTTCTTCATGATAGGGTTAAACTTTAAAATCTTAATTTCACCAGAGTTCTAAAAAACCTGACTTATGCCTTTTGAATTGCTAAGTTCAACAGTCCTTACAGTTTTTACAAGAAATCTAACTTTCATTAAATCGTCACAGTAGCGAAAAACCAACTCATTATTTGTGCAAAAGTTTTGGGTGGAGCAGGTCGTCAGAAATGTAAAACTCACGGCAGCCGGATGGTGCATGAACATATTTTACTGATATTAACTCCTTGATATATGAAGCACTGTGAGGTAAGGAAAAGACGAGAAGAGGCAAAAAACAAAAAAAAAATCCCAAGATATTATGTGTGCGTGTGTGATGTTAAATATCAAAATTCATTTAAGAATTCTGGTAGCAGGAGTCCAGAGAGGACACACAGTACGGCATGGTCTTTCCCTCTCTCACCCCATCTCAGGTACAACTGCCCCATGCCAGCCACACATGCTTCATCCTCAACCCCTGGACTCGTGCGGCTCCCGACAGACACACTCTGGCCTACTGACCACCTGACACCACCCCTCAATGGGGAAAGACTGGTACATGTCACTCACGGTAATCTCACACATTACAGAATGTGGGACACCTTTGTTTTTCAAACAAAATTTTGCCTAGAGCCCCTAGGATTTTGGTTTACAACCTGGGCTTATTTCACAGAAACATTTTTAAAATTGTCTTGTAACGCAAAGTTTAGAGGTAAAACATTATGTCAGTGTGTGCAGACCTCAACACAGACTCACCTCTCCTTTTCTGCAAAATCATTTTGTAACTTTTGTTCCTTTTCGAGAGCTATGGTCTCAGCTTGGTTCTTCAGAGTCTGTTCATATTCTCGGATTTTCTCTTTAAGTGCTTTTATCGTAACCTCTGCATAAAGAAAAAAAACTACAGTGAGGGAAGCACAATTCCATGTGGCTCTATATATAAGGCTTTCGTAACCTGGGAGGATCGGAGTGTTTTAGACTTTTGCTCTTCAACTCTGACACAAAATCAATGGTTACGAGTCCCTTCGGAGACCTTTTACTCCCTAAATGTTAAATTGAACTTTAAATGTTTAGGTTGAGGAGGATCAATGGATTTTGCTGGGAAGAGAGCTATGGTTTCTCTAATACAGCTTAAAGAAAAAGAGGGAGGAGAATCGATAGTAAAATATAATATCATCTTATTGATGAGGCTTAAATTAGTTCTCGACTGAGGGAAGATTCATAAAGTTTTAGTGTGGGTTTAAGTACTTTCTTACAAAGAAAACAGCTCATAATTGTGTGCACATTTTGGAGGAAGCTGTCTTAGCCAAAGTCAGGTAGGTCTCCAGACACCCCTGGCCAGGGGTGGCAGCTCTGCTGTTTCACAAGAGATGAAACAGGTGCTGTGCCAAGCGGATACAGCACCACCTCCTCGGCTGGAAGGGCCCCACCCGGAGCTTGGGTGTAGAGAGCGCCCTCCACTGGGGCCAGAGTCTGGGGGACTGGGGCTGTGTGTGGAGAGCAGAGGATGCAGGGCCTGGGGGAAGTGCATCTGAGGGAGGGTGAGCGCCAGGGGCGTGGGCCCCAGTGCTGTGCAACGAAGGAGCCCTGCAGCGCCCAGTGCTCAGGACACGGGGCCCCTTTGGGGGCAGGGCCGTTCCTGGAGAGCCTAGACCCCAGCACCACCGAGTGCACGTTTACAGCTGTCGCTTCCATTACCCAAAATGGGGACACCAAAGCAGATGTAATGAATGGAGCAGGGTCCTAACGGCAGGACCGCTCTACATGCTCCCTCCCACAGACACCCCCACACCACTCTGCGAGCTGGACGGTCCCTAGAAGAGCACTGTGGTCCCAGCTCTAAGGAGAGCCGAGCTCTGGGGAACCGCACCTGCTGTGCAAGAACCCATCTCATAGAAGGCAAGGCTGAGGTTCTCTGTGGTCCAGCACCTGGCACAGGTGGGTGCTCAGGAGGTGGCCGGGGCATGAATGAAGGAGCCAAGGGCAGGCTGACCAGAGTGAGGCCCAGACAGGACTTGTTACGAGGTTCCAGGCTCACGGGACAATGCCACCTGCCAGGTCTCTGCCCAAGTAAGAGCTTGGACTTGGTGGCCCTTGTTCCCTCAGGTTGAAACTCATGTTCACTTTTACTCCCTGAGCTGCACGGACACACTGGGCAAGGCAGGAGCACAACAACTGGGCATTTAGCATGCACAGGGCTGAGCGGTAAAAGCCGAAGGCTCTTTTGTTAAGAAAAGAAATTGGCCCTTGTCATTAAGTGGAACCCAGAGGGCTCTCCTTGGAGGAGAGAGGGAATTAAAACCAATGACCCCGTCAGGGCATTTGAGAGAAGAATGGGGGGCTTTCTGCCTTTTGGGCTGGTTGTTTTGGGCCTGAACGAAACGTTCTGTGAGCATAATGGTTAGTGACACACATTACTCTCACGCCATACTGACAAGGCCAAAGTTGGGCCAGGGTGGGAGACTTCCAAAATGGACACCAAGACAGGTCGCCTCTGAAAACACTTGCATTCTTGTAAGTCAGTGGTCTATGTGACTGTGTAAACACCCAGCCTTTCTGCCTTTAACAATGGTTGAAAATGTCTGTAGAGCCCCTGGGCCCCCGTGCTCACTCCAGTGGGGTTTCTCAGTGTGACACATCTATGCTCCTTCCGGGGCAGTGGGGGTACTACCTGGGAGCTCACACGCTGCCTCCTGGGGTCTCTTTGCCACCCCCACCCTGGCTGGGCTGTTCACTGAGCGGCCAAGCCAACACCAGAGGCTCATTCTGGAGCCTCCGGCCCTTCTCTGTCCAGCAGCTCTGTCCCAGCATTATCCTCCACACGCAAGCAGGAGAGGACCAAGAACACTGTGGCAGAAAGGACACCGAAGTGCTCTGCTCTAATTAGCTGTGCCTGGGGCCCCCGTTTCCTCATCTTCACGTGGGGTGGAGGGAGAATTATAGCACATGATAAACAAATTCCTTTCCTGCGCTAACTTTTCGTCAACCTACACTATGGCCATGATGATAAAACAAGTGACGTGCACCCCCACCCTTCCAAATTATGACCATTTTATATTGGGAAGAAAGGAGAGGAAATTGACACTTTTCTGGAGGTTGGGAAAATCTGTAAAGATATCAATAAATAAAGAAAAGTGGAGGAAATTTCTGGAAAAAACAACAGGGCTTGATAAGAGCAGCTAATATTTACTGAGTGTCGGGAACAGTGTTAGATGCTTCCCCGCATACTCTCACTCAATCCTACAACAATCCCATGCGGTTAGGATGGGAATCTCCCACCAAGAAAGCAAGGCTTGCGACACAGTGAGATCACTTGCTCAAGGTCATCCAGTTAAGCTGTGGCAACGAAGGGACTCAAACCAGGTCTGTCTGCCTCCGGAGCTTTGCTCTTAAGTCTTGGACTATATATTTCATTTAAAAACGCCCATCAGATGAAGCCTTTGGGGAGGAGAATGTCCCACACTCACTGTGGCTCCTCATCAGCCCTGTGTAACCCAGCAGTTGGGCAAGTGGCCCTGGGGAGGGAGGTGGCCACACAGAGCCCTTGGGCCGCCTGCACCGTCCTTCCACAAAACAAAAGCAAACTGAAGAAAACACAGAATGGATCTATCAAAATTAGATGCCAGAGGTCACTGGAAGGAAAAACCAAAGGACACTCCTCTTGGCTACACAGAGCTGCGGCGACAACGGACACGTGACACGTAAATGTGCGTATTGATGGTTCTCTTTCCCTGGAGCACTTGGCGGATTCTGACAAGAAACAACTCCTGCTGGGGGAGGCAGCCCCTTCTCCCACCCAGATCCTCGCCTCGGAAGTCCAACACCTCACTTTCAAGCAAGGACAAGGCTATCCCTCCGAGTCTCAAAGGCTCACTGCTTCCTGCGGTGCCAGATCAAGGTGGGGGTCTCAGCTGCCCCTGACCCCGGTCCCCCAAGGAAGGGGCCCTCAGTACTGCCCAGGCCTGCACCTTCCAGTTTCTCGTCAGTCTCTTCCCGGACCCTTTCCCAGGACAAGCCCTCCTTGCAGGCCTGTCCCCAGTGGTCTCAAAGCCCAAAGACACTTAAAAAAATCTTCACCAGTGAATTCTTTATGCAGCCCCCAGAGCATATGAAATAGAAGGCCACTTGGAGGGAGTCTCAAGCTGCTTGCCTCTCCTTTCTAGCTCCTTCCTCACCGACACCCCCAAACAAAAACAAATGGGTGTATTTCTCCCTGGAGTTGGCTGAAAAACCTGCAGCTGCTGTCAGATGGGGTTATGATTTCTCCTCAAGACAAGGAAGCCACGAGGCTCTTGGATTCTGAACACATCTGGATTTTAGGTGTAGGAGAGGTTTCTTCGTTCTTCCCTGACAGGAAAAGCCAGGCAACCTCTGCCCTCTCTGCCGTGTTGGCGGCTGGGCCACCACACCAAGAGGTTGTTTTCTTTCATTAAATTCGTAATGAATAGGTGACGCTGACAAGGAAACAGTGCTGCTTAAGCATGCAGACCTGAAGGATGCGTCTCCAGCCTTAATGTACCGGCAGCAATTATTAAATGACTGACTGAATGTGGCCCTTTGATCACAAGCTGGCTCTCTGACAGGTGTCGCCTGCAGGCTACACATCAGTCTTTTAAAAGGCAGATCCTATCTCATGATGATCCAGGAAGAATTTTAAAAGAATCCTGATCGGTCCCGTCGGAGGGCAATAAAATCATATGTACTTATATGTGCAGAGGAAAAGTTTGACTTCTGAACAGCTAAGCATTATTATTACCTCTCTTTAAAGGTTCTGAGTCTGGCCCCACCCTGACTTTATGACGTATATGACAATTAGAGCTAGTCTCAACAGCATGGGGAAGGCAATTAAAAAAAAAAGAAAAGAAAGAAAGGAAAAGAAAAAAAGCAACGACCATATCTTCCACCAACCTTGATTTTTCACTTCGGCAAATTCCTTGTTGTACTCTTCTAGAGTTTCCCTAAGTTTCTGGTTCTCTGTTTCAATGTCGTGCAGCCGCTGCACTTTGAGCTGGAGCTGCTGCCCGAGATCCAGAGCTGGCACAGGATCTGCAGAGGAAAGCACATGTCACCCCACTGTGGACACGGACGAGCCACCTTCAGGGTCACATGGAGACCTGGGGCAGGTCTCTTGGGCGCCCCGGAAGTCGGTCTCCAGCGGCTCCCCTGCGGCTGCTACCACTTGCCAGAAGCTGGGGCACCTGCGGCCTCGCTGCCTCCTGCAGAGCCCCCAGGAGCTCCACAGCTGGCTGGGGCCTTCTCTGCAGCCTACAAAGGATGTGTACACAGCTGACAGCAAGGACGTGGCATGGAGACCTGCTCCAGGGTCCCGAACGCGTGAAAACAGGGTAGGAATGGCCGCAGTTCGCTGGGCTTGTCCACTGCTCTGGCCTGCTGTGACACCTGAGTCTTTGACCTGCTACGAAGAGAGACACAGGCGGCGGCGGCAGGGGCAAGGAGAGGAGCCCCGAGAAAATCAACCAGGAACCCAGAGCCCTACTTGGACTGTGCAGAAGGCGCCCATGAGCTCAGTTTCCAATAAATCTGTGACGTGGGAAATAACACCTGATACGCTGAGAGTGTCTCGCGGTCCTAAAACACTTTTTCAGATATTCTCTCATTTGAGCCTCACAACAATCCTGGGACAGAGTGTGAGACATGTATCACGTTCCTTTCACTGAAGCAGAAACTAAAGCTCAGGGAAGTGGAGGGACTTCCCCAAGGTTTCTGGGCTAGTTAGTGGGCAGAGAGAATGCGAACCCAAGTCTTAATCCACGTGACCATTCTTCCAACAAGGAGGGTCCGCTGATGGAGCAGAGGAAATAAACATGGCTTTCTGAGAAGCCACTCCATTTGGGAATGATCACCTTCCATCACAATCCTCCTTTACTCATGACGGTGGCTGCTCACGGGAGAGAGCCAGGGCTCAGCAGCTGGTGACCTGAAGACTGGAGGACCCCAGGTTTCTGCCCTGGGGAGTCCTTCCCTTCCCCAGAGGCACAGCTGGTGACCCAGCCTGCTGGGACGCGTCCTAGGCCAGCAGGCCAGCCAGCCAGGAGGCCACCACACTCCCGACTGCAGTCCAAAGAGCAGGAGAGGGCATCTAGGCCAGTTACGTGACGTCTTGCGGCCAATTCAATGTACAATCCGCCGTCAGATTTACTTACAAAAAACTGGACTTTAACCTAAAATTAGAGATTGCAGACACAGAATTTACAGTGCTAACTCCTGGCCTTTGCCTTTACCATTAATTCAGCACAAAATGGAGAGACATTAAATGTTTTCCTGGCGTCAATTTGATCTTTATTTTTTCTTCTGCTGCCTACGAGGCACTTATAATCCACCTGCTGGGCACGAGTGGAGCGCTTCCTCTGCAATTCTCGAGCTCCGTGAGAGGAGAAGAATACCCAAGTCCACTGGGCTTAGAAAAGATTATTGAAGATATTCCTGGCATGGCGGCCAGCATCACTCGTGAGATGGCTGCAAAGATTTAGTCTCCGGTTGAGGAATGCTAAACACCAAGCGCAGTGGATCAACAAGGGTATATATTCAAGAGCTCACTTAATTTTCAAATACCAGAGTCATTAATTTTTCAGACCACCCCTGGTTCCTGGAAACGAGGGCTAGATCCACCACGCCTCCGTCGGCGAGTCCACCAGGAGCCAGGAACTCTTTGAGATGCCAACGTCTCTGCAGAGTTTATAAAAGGCAGGCACTGGGATGTGTCCAGCCCCACGGCACCAGACCTGCCCGTGGGGTTTAACACCAACACTGTCCATCATGTGAAACCCTTGGCTGCCGGGCATTTATTCTGTGTGTATACACAGTTTATGACTACGTCACTTTCTCGCTTGTGGCTTTTCATGATTATTTTAATCAGCATTAAAATATTTATATTAAATTAGATTTCAAAAGCTATTTTGGGGAGATGGTTCCTTGTAAGTAGGAGTAGTAATAACATTAAAGACTGAATTCCTCAGAACATTCCAGGTACAGTTTTTTTTTTTTTAATTTCAGTATCTTTCCAGGGTACCTTCCAACCCCCACCCCTTTCACAGCCTCATGCTGGGAAAATGGCCTGAAGGAAATAAACAATATGCCCATGGCCCTCTTCATATAGAACTACAATTTGAACTTGAAACAGAGGTCATGGAAGGATTGAGGAGGAGAAGGCTGCACTTGTATAAAATTCTATTAATGTTCACTCATGTAGGCTTTCTGGCACAATTGCCAGTAGAAATTATATTTTTAAAGAGCTCAGCTAGCATACTGCCATCCACCCCTAAAATTTCTTTTTTTTTTTTTTTTAAAGATTTTATTTATTTTATTTTTCCCCCCAAAGCCCCAGTGGATAGTTGTGTGTCGTAGCTGCACATCCTTCTAGTTGCTGCATGTGGGACTTGGCCTCAGGATGAACGGAGAAGTGGTGCCTCGATGCGCACCCGGGATCCGAACCCCGGCCACCAGCATCGCAGTGCGCACACTTAACCACCAAGCCACAGGGCCGGCCCCACCCCTAAAATTTCTGCCGACAACTTTCCCAGTCCATTCCTTTTAAAAGGCCAGGACCTACTATGTCTGCTTTGAATAAAAAATAGCTTCCCTCGTTCGATTCAGCAAGGAATTCAGTGACATATAAAAATAACATGCACATTATCAAGTGAATGGTAACTAGACCTTCAGACAAATTTTCAAAGTATTATATTGTAAATGAAAATTCCGGCAATCTCATCATTATTCATTACGGCATGTATATTTAATTTAACACTATTAAAGGTTAATGCTAAGTAGCAAAACTGGTCACAGAATAAAGAATGAACTGAATGTTCAAACATCTCTATGCATTAAACTTCAAACTTTACTACAGTACAGTTGAATGACTAAACGCCTACAGCATTTGAATATTATTTTGGATTATGTAAAAGGCATTGCTAAAGTACCTCTTAGGCTTAATTTTTATTACTTGTATTAAAGGAACAGCTAATTACCACATGACAGTGTAATGACTCCAGCATGTTTGGGCTGGAGACCAAAACAATGAATTTCGGCATGCCAAACCCCAACCTGAATGTTAATCTAGGGGAAATCATAGCTTTTTGTCTCGTTAATGATTTCCAATGCCATTTAAACCCCACACAAGTATTGTTAGGTCTTATTCTGAACGTCACAAGCCTCCGATCTCAGCAGCTCAATTAGGGAATTGTCTGGGGGAGGCAAGCGAACACACCCATACTCGAACAGGAACGAAATCCCGCAACCTCTGTCCGCCCAGCCTCCTCCAGTCAACACGCGTTATTGTGGCTCCATCCAGCCAACGTGACAAACTTGCCAAGTGTTTAACAATCATCTAATAGTTAATTCCTAAAACACTCTTTGAGGCACTATATAGCTCATTATGCAACTCAGGACTCCAAGAACATAATTATAACAAACAATAATAATACCATCACTTGTATTCATTCAGCACCTTCTCCCAAGCACAGGTCACATTACTGCATTAATTCCAGACATCACAGTCAGAGATCGGGGGAGGGGCCCTGCAATGTGTCAGGTGCTGGCATCTCTCCCAGGGACGGGGGAGGAGAGAAGTCAGCCAGGCAAGCAGGTACGCAAAACTTTAATTAAGATATCTGCTTCCTGAACCAGCAGCCAACTAAATTATACTGTCTCTTCAAGTACTAATTTAACAAGTATTTCTTAAGCATCTATCTGCTCTAGGCAAGGCCTGGGTGAGGCACTGGGATGGACGCTCAGCCAAGTCGGCTGGGACCAGCGTCACAATAAGGATGAACCATGTTCACAAATAACAAAGGTAAAGTAAGAAGGGCCACCCTGAAGAGCAGACGAGTGGAAGATCACTCCCAGATAGAGAAACTGGGAAAAGTAGATTTAAAAAAAAAAAAAAAGAGGAGACCGGGTTTAGACCTGTGGAGCCAGAGGGGCAGTTAGTCCATGTGTAAGAGCAAGGAGCAGGGGAGCGCCAAGCACGGCCCAAGGAACAGTTCAGTCCGACTGCCAGGGCCCATGCACACACTCTATGACATCAGCACTGCTTTAGGTGCCAGGAGGACACAGTGGTGAACAAGACGACGCTTGCTCCCAAAGCCCTGACGTTGTAGTGAAGTGAGGGCGACAGACAAAAAGCAAAACCAAACCAAAGAGAATACTTTCAGGGACTGCCAAGCATGGAGAGAGGAAACAGGCTGTGGAGAATGGGGAATGGATCCTGGACACAGATGGGGAGAGAGGGCCTCTTGGAGGAGGTGACATTGGGATTCGGATCTGTGAAGACTCACTCTCAGCAGAGGGAGCAACAGTGCAAGGGTCCAGACATGGGTGTGAACTGGCATACCAAGACAGAGAGAGAAGGGGCCGGCCCTGTGGCGCAGTGGTTAAGTGCATGCTCTGCTGCTGGCAGCCCGGGTTTGGATCCCAGGCTGGCACCGATGCATCGCTTGTCAGGCCATGCTGTGGCAACGTCCCACATAAAGTGGAGGAAGATGGGCACGGGTGTTAGCTCAGGGCCAGTCTTCCTCAGCAAAAAAGAGGAGGATTGACATTGATGTTAGCTCAGGGCTGATCTTCCTCACAAAAAAAAAAAAAAAAAAAGACACAGAGAGAAGCTAGCCAGGCTGCGATGAAGGGAAGTGCAAGTGGCAAGTGGTTAGAGAGGCAGGCCTGTGCTCAAGGATTTAAAGAAAAATATGAACACAATTAAGGAGAGAAACAGAAGATACAAAGAAGAATCAAATTAACTCTACAGCTGAAAATACAATGTCTGAGGTGTCCCCTCAGTGCAGTAGGTAGCGCATCAGTCTCATAAAAACCCAAAGTCTGAAATGAGCCAGAGGACTGAGTTTGGATTCAGTGTTACTCCTGATGGTAAGAACCATCAGAGAACAGGACTTTTGCAAGATGAGTCACTAGGGCATTAGAAGAAAACTATAGTAGTTTCAGCCACAAAAAGGTTTGCTGATTTTCTAGTGGCAAAGTATTTAAGACATGAGTTAAACATGAGTTTACAATTTTCTTTTAAAAAGCTAAGTGTTCCAAATTAGCCGCCCTGTTCTGTGACGGCAGATGGCTATCAGTAATATGCTGCCTGGCAGACATTTTTGAAAAAATAGACACACAGTCTATGTCTTTGTAGTAAACGTGGTATCTTAATACTTAGTGGGAAAAAAACGACTTCTTGAAAGAAACTTATGCTATAGAGACAGTATTCTACAAGTGGATACTTGGAAATGTTCCCATCATCACATAAACATAGGGGCAAAGACAATATCCTCTACGAAAATGTCTCAATGGCTCGTATCATGAAAAGGAGTGTAGCCAAACGATTTAGAATGTGGGCCAGACCGCATGTGTTTGAAACCCAGCTCTGCTACTTACTGGTTGTGCAACCATGGACAAGTTACTTATTACCTCTGTATCTTAGTTTCTGCATCTATAAATTGGGCATAATAATTGTGCCTATATCATGAGATTGTTGTGAGGACTAACTGAGATAATATGTGCATACTCTTAGAAAACTGCCAGACACTCAATAAATGTTACCTATTACTAACCAACTCAAACCTGATTGCGCATTTGCTAGAACAGGTTTAAAACCACTTGTTAATAATATAAAAAATATAGTATCTTCTGAGTGGTTAGCAAGAAAAATCGAATATCAGAGAAAATAAAAATTTAGAGTTGAATTTCAACAAATACTTTCTTCTAATTGGTACACAGGTTTCAAAAAAATGAATCATATTTTCATAAATATAGTCAATAATGCACTGCTTTGCTTTGGATCCACGTATCTTTGTGAGTTATATTTTCCTGCCATTTATGACAGCCATTAAACAAAGAACAAAATTAACAAAACTTGGAGGCTTTCACTTCCGGCCACGACAGATTTACTGGTACTGGACTTGCCCTCTGGCTATAAACAACTAGAATATTAGGCAAACTGTATGAAACAACCATTTACAGATGTTGGACAACCAGCAGAGCAGGACTCTTCATCCCTGAGAGAAGGGAAACAAACGAGATGAGACCCATGATCACCCTGACTTTCTGTCAGGTAGCACTTTCTGGACCACAGCACAGGGAAGGGGGAACCCAAGCAGAGCATGACAGTCTTCCCAGGTTGAGAAGAGAGAGATCAGAAGACTGGGAGGCCGAGGCAGCTGGAATTTATAGGCCAGAGCACTGGAGAGGAGGGAGATATGCAGAGAAAGAGCTAGAGAGATCCGCAGAGGAGTAGAGTCTGTTGATAAAAGCTAAGGTGCGTGCGCACAGGGTGAAATTCCACAAGGCTGGGCACAGAACCACAAGGAATCTCTAAGTGAACCAGTCCCAGAGTTCGCAGAGGGTTGGGAGACTTTCGAATTGCAACCAGCCAGAGAGGAGAGACTCCCTGAATAGCCAGGACATTCAGTAGAGATGTGAGAACGGCCACACAAGAGTGGAGGGCTAAATTAATTCTAAAGTAAAGGATCTTCCAGACCCACTCCCAAAAGCTTAAAAACTAGCCTCAGAATGACCCAGCCTATTTGCCAGTAATTTAACTGCCTGCCCAAACAAACTTCAGCACTCTTAAGAAAGACAACAAAATCCAGAGAGTTAACAACTACTATGTCCACCATCCAATAAAAAATTACTAGACATGCAAAAAAGCAAGATAATCAGGAAAAAAAATCAGTTAATCAAGACAGAACTAGAAATGACAAGGGATGATGGCACTAATTAACAAAGATCAAAACAGCTATTATAAGCATGCTCAAGGATTTAAAGAAAAATATGAAGACAATAAGGAGAGAAATAGAAGAGATAAGGAAGAAAATGGAATTCTAGAACTTAAAATACAATAACTGAAATGAAAAAATATTCTAGATTGGCTTAACAGCAGATTAGACACTGCAAAAGAGAGAAGATCAGTGAATTCAAAGACACAGTCACTGAAACTGTCTAAACAGAAGCAGAGAGAAGAGACTGAAAAAAAGTTACTAAAACTTCAGCAACCTGTGAAACACTATCAAGCAATCTAACATACATATCCCAGAAAGGGGCAAGGGGTGGATTTGAAGAAACAGTGGTGAAATTTTCCAAATTTGATGAAAGCTATAAACTTAAAAATCCAAGAAACTCAACAAACTCCAAGCAGGATAAACACAAGGAACACTAATAAACATAATCAAATTGCTGAAAAGAAGAATAAAAAAAAAAATCTTAAAGCCAGAGAAGAGAAGACTCGTTATTTATAGGGGAAGAAAGATTATTACGTCAGTCAATCCCGAGGGAGAAAAAACAAAAACAAAAATTGCTAACGCACAGTGTTATATCCAACAAAAAATATCCTTCAACAAAGAGGGCGAGGTAGAGATTTTTTTGGCGCAGATGAACAAAAGCTGGCAGAATTCATTGCCAGAGCTCGTACAGTATAAGAAATGTTAAAGGAAATGCTATAGGCTGAAAGACAACGATGCCAGATGGAAACCTGGATCTACACAAGAAAATAAACATCAGAAATGGTAAATATATGGGTAAAAATAAAATACTATTTTTCTCATTTTAAATTTCTTTAAAAGATAATTCACTTATTATTTTTCTTTTTTGAGGAAGATTGGCCCTGTTCTAACATCTGTTGCCAATCTTCCTCTATTTCTTTTTTCTCCCCAAAGCCCTAGTACATAGTTGTGTATCATAGTTGTAGAGTTGTAGCCCTTCTATATGGGATACCACCTCAGCATAGCTTGATATGCGGTGAGTAGGTCCACGCCCAGGATCTAAACTGGTGAACCCTGGGCCACCGAGGCAGAACGCTCGAACTTAACCACTATGCCACTGGGCTGGCCCCAGATAACTGACTATTTAAAAGCAAAAATAGTAACGATGTGCCATAGGGTTATAACATATGTAGAAGTAAAATGAATAACAACAGGAGGTAGAAAATGAGAGTGTATTGTAAGATTCTTACATTATATGTGAAGTAGTATAATATTATTTGAAGGTATAGTGAGATAAAGATGCTTACTGTAAACCTTAAAGTAATCATTAAGAAAATAAGACAAAGAGTTATAGCTAATAAGACAATCGCGGAGGTAAAATAAGATCATAAAAAAATATTCAATCAGGGGCCGGCCCCGTGGCTTGGCGGTTAAGTGCGCGCGCTCCGCTACTGGCGGCCCGGGTTCAGATCCCGGGCGCGCACCGACGCACCACTTCTCTGGCCATGCTGAGGACACGTCCCACATACAGCAACTAGAAGGGTGTGCAACTATGACATAGAACTATCTACTGGGGCTTTGGGGAAAAAAAGGAGGAGGATTGGCAGTGGATGTTAGCTCAGAGCCAGTCTTCCTCAGCAAAAAGAGGAGGATTAGCATGGATGTTAGCTCAGGGCTGATCTTCCTCACAAAAAAAAAAGAAATTCAATCAAAAGAAAGCAGGAAAAAATACAACAAAAAACAGGTAAGACAACTAGAAAACGAACAGTAAGAGAGTAGACTTACACCCAATTTTAGCCACAATTACATCAAATGTAAAAGATCTAACATTCCTCTTAAAAGGCAGATTGTCAGACTGGATAAAAAAGCAAGTCACAGCTGTTTACAAGAAATGCAACTTAAATATAATGACAAAGATAGGATAATAGTAAAAGGATAGAAAAAGATATAACATGAAAACACTAATCAAAAGTAAGCTGGAGGGGAGTGACGTCAGCATCATGGCAGAGAGTGAACTTTCCCGTAAACTCTTCTCCCGATGAGATACAACAAAAGAAACAGTCACAGGCCAGCAACGGACTCCTAGACAGTGAAAAGGAAGATCAGAAAGATCCACACTGCTGCACATCTGAGAGTGGAACGTGCTGGGGCCCCCGGAGAAGGTGGGGAGAGGTAAGGAGAACTCCTCTCTCTCCCCATCAGATCAGCAATCCCAGTCCTCACATCTCCCAGAGAGAGGGGAGAGGTGGCCCTCCGCAGGGAAACCGTAGCTCTTCGGGCTCTCTCAGCCAGTGGGAAACTCCCACACAGAGGACTTAGAACTGCTACAGGGGTATCATCAACATCTCAGCACCCCAGGAGAGCAGATAACGAGGGGCGAGCAAGAAGCCCCCCATGCCAGTGATCCAGCGGGCTAAAGAGAGAGGCCCCCCCCACCCCCGCATGCCGGACACTGCAGCTCAGCCGATCAGACCAGACCAAGCAGTTGGCCGATCGCAGCAAGCAGCTGGAGCAGAGCGCAGGGGGCTCAGATTACACAGCCCTTAACCCCCACATGGTGGCGGCAGGTGGAAACTGCAACCAGATATTTCCACGATGAGGAAAAACAAAGCCAATACAGCAACCACAATGTAAAGGTACATGAAATCACCAGACCAGAAGGAAAATGACAAGCACCCAGAAACCAACCCTGAAGACACAGAAATCCATAACCTAAA